TGGTCTGTAAGATATTATGATAAAGTAACAAAGACTTATTGTTAATCCTCTTTGTTATCTTGCAGTCGATAAGCTGCTGAGTTCTGAGGACGGCGGCGGTATCTTTGATGATCCTCCAGCTATCACAGAAAGTGTCATGATGCCTCCAGATCATGGAGATGATGAAGACGACTTTGACAACCTCCAGTCACGTAAGTAAAGCTAAGTTCTTTTGCCTTATTGCAAAGGATTTAAAACAGGAAATTCTGTTGTTTTTTCTTTTTTCTTTTTGTCTCTGTCTCCATTAATCTCCAGTAGCGTCACTGTGTATCTATAAATTACATTTACATGTGGAGAACATTGCAGCGGTGACCTGTAAAAACTGCTTAGTCATGTATCACAATAAGTGGAGTGCACATTGTATCATTACTTGTCTGTTTAAGGGGAAATGCATTTTTGTGTGTCTAGCGGGTCCAGACAGCCCAGACTCTGGCCCAGCAGAGCCACTGCCAGCAATGGCTGATCAGACAGAACAGACCACTCTGGTTCACAATGAGGAGGAGGCCTTTGCCCTGGAGCCTATTGACATCACTGGTAAGACTCTTCCTCACCCTTCTGTAGAGAAGAAAGACTGTTTTAATGAATATTTTATTTGTATTTTTTATTATAAAATTCTGTATTAATTCCTCTTCTGTAAATTTTTTTTTAGCAAAAAGTATTTTTGAAAAATCCATTCTGTAAATGCTTCTCAATATATTTAAAATGATATACAAGAAAGCTAATAGGAAGTCATAGGAAACTGTGCCAACAAAAATGTCACTATGCATTTTGCTGAAGGCGAGGGTTTACCGAAATGACTATATTACTGTCTTACACTGAGAAACCATAGGGATTTGTCAACTTGTAGATTCTTCTATACCTTTTTTCTAGGTATCCATCCCTTAAATAACTCTGGTTGTATTCAGCAGTTACAGGGAATGTTGTGAGTAAGGAGACTGCAAAAAGCTCTGAGCAACACAGCACTGATATATAATTGACCAATGAAGTCCTTACGCTTAGCATTGTTTGAAAACCATAACACGTGCTACCCTTTTAATGATGAGAAATGATGGTCAAACAGGCATCAGCTACATTTTTTTTTCTTCCTGTTTGCAGTGAAAGAGACCAAGGCGAAGCGTAAGAGGAAGCTCATTGTGGATAGTGTGAAGGAGCTGGACAGTAAGACCATCAGGGCCCAGCTGTCTGATTACTCGGACATTGTCACCACATTGGACCTCGCACCTCCCACTAAGAAGCTTATGATGTGGAAGGAAACTGGAGGAGTTGAGAAGCTCTTCTCTCTTCCTGCCCAACCCCTGTGGAACGCCAGGCTGCTCAAGGTAACAAATGTTTGTTAAAAATATGCACATACTTGTGGGTGAATATGCACACATGTCCACCCCTAACTATTTGAGAACATACTGTCAGCTATCTGCTTGAAGTCACTTACAGGCAATATCACCACTTGGTGAATGGTAATGAGTAAGTCACACCAAAGGTCTTTGTCTCCAAGTGTGTCAGACTGTGATACTGTTTAATATATATATATATATATATAATGTTGAATTTTTCATTGACATTCTGTTCAGGATGTGGAATTTAAATAAGAGCATTGAATGAATGGGAGGTGGTTGAAGTGATTGGTTTTGTCTCTCTTTTCCCTATCCTTTCACACCCACATTACCCCTCCTGAATACTGAATTTAAAACGTGTTGATGCATAATCAAGGAGACATTCTTTTTGTCTTTCATCAGTCTCCCTGAAAAGTCCCAACATTTTTATTGTACTACTATTATTTTTTTATTTATATTTAACTGTTAAATCTCTGATGTCAGATGTTCACCCGCTGCCTGACGCCTCTGGTGCCAGATGAGCTGAGGAAGAGGCGAAAGGGTGGAGAGGCAGACAGTCTGGATGAGTTCCTCAAAGAGCTGGAGAACCCAGAGGTACCTAGAGAGGAGGTCATGAGTCAGCACAGAGATGTTATTGGTAAGTTATGCTGGAAGAGATGAGAGGAGGCTATATTACAGTGCAGACATGTCATCAGTTGCATGAGAGGAAGAGAGACTGGGGGCAGGTCTTAACTGTGACACCATCAATGAATAAGGCTTTAACTTTAGCTGTTCACATAAGCATTTCTTTATGAAATCTATTAATATCTCCCTCAGACCAGACGATCATGGAGGAGCCTAGTATGCTGGCAGCCTCTGCAATGGAGGGCAGCAGGACAACCCTGGATGAGACAGTCATGCCTCCTCCCTCTACACCCCGTGGTGTCAAACGCAAGACCCTTGACAAAGAGGGCCCCCTTCCTGTAAGTAATTATTAACTTTTGTTTTTCTTTGTCCTAATGCTCTAATTGAGGGTGCATATTTTCTCCTCAGCATATCATGTGGAGGTGACAAAATGTATAAATCCAAAAGTGCTGTTTAAAGGCTATATTGTTTTCAGTGCTTAAGCAGCTGAGCTGTAATATGTAGAAATTTGATTCCCATTTTTTAAACTGCTTTCTGTTTTAGACCAAATTTCATGGTTTGATTATAATCATGTCACATTGGTCTTATTTGTTATCTAAAGGAAAGAAAATAAACCAGATAAGGATTTTTGTATTTTGAATTTTCTGAAGGAGTGAACTTGGGAAGTGCTCAACAGTCAAATGGGAAAAACACTAAATATAATCCATTCAGATGACTGCAGTGTGTCCTAGCTTGGTCCTGACTTGCGCACTGCTTTCCCTCTTTCAGATGGCTCCATTGGAGCAGCAGCAGGTGGCTGACCGCTCAGTCTTGTCTCAGAGGTTAGACATGCCTCAGGTGGATCTGCCCCCAGAGGAGAGCAGTGTCAACCTCACCCAGCTTGTCCCTGAGCTGGACCTCCTTGGTGAGAAGAGCAAAGACAAGAAGGATGATAGCGATGAGGAAGAGGTGAGAGAAGAACAACTGCGTTCTCTGGTACACTGGAAACTTTGCAGCTCGTAGTAGTGATGCATTTTTTCACTTAGCTTAAAATTTGCCTAAAGTGCTAAAACAAAAATCCCGATAACAAGTAAGTAAAAATATAAATAGCAAAGCTAAAGAGTAAAATTCCGTCTAAGCTATGTAGCAGTTTATAGGAAGTGCTGTTCTGTAGAGACAAGCTTTTATTTAATTGTCTGTTGTATAAGTCTGGGCCAATTGATAGTGATGATTCTGTCTGTGGTCCTCAGGAAGAGGAAGGTCAGGCTGGAGACCAGGATCAGGAGGAGAAGAGATGGAACAAGAGAACCCAGCAGATGCTGCACGGTCTCCAGGTACGAAGAAATTATTTTGAAAACACATTTTAAGTAGACTGCAAACGTTGTCACAGTATTTATAAAATTCTGATTATGTGATATTACTTTTGCTTATCTGTATTCTGTGAGGGTCTTTTGATGAAAGGAGGGGAAACATGAGCATCACTTGCTTGTTCATATTTGATTGATCGTCAGGTCAAAAGAAAAGACTTCGACTGATATTTTGTGTTTCTGTCTCCATAGCGCGTCATGGCTAAGACTGGTGCAGATTCAGTCAGCCTGCTTGACCTGTGCCGGAACAACAACAGGAAGCAGGCAGCTGCCAAGTTTTACAGTTTCCTGGTCCTTAAGAAGCAGCAAGCCATCGAGGTCACCCAGTCTGAGCCCTACAGCGATATCATCGCCACCGCTGGACCAAGATTCCACCTTATTTAGACATTGGAAGAACAGACAAACTCTTCTTCCAACAGACATACTTTTTTAATTACTCGAGTTTTTTGCCTTTTTATTTTGTGTTTTCCTGTCAGCCCATTTTGTTTCAGGGGAAGGGGCGGGAGTAGTGGGGAACGGGTTGGAAACTTTTTAAAAAAAGAAGAAAAAAAAAAGGATTTTACTGTACTACAGATGGAATCATGCAGTATTCATTTGGTTCAAACGGAGTGAGGAAGAATGTTTAACAATTATATTTATAAAGCAACCTTTTTTTAGACACCAATTTGTAAGCTTCGCTTCATTATGTTTTGTAAGTTAAATTTCCATTGTCTGCTCATTCCATAAGTTTTGTACCATTGCCCCTCTCACACCGGAAATATTGCAGATTTTAGATAAAGAGCCCTGTATTTTCACATGGAATCCTGTATCAACTCTTGACATGTTTTGGAAAGGTACTGTTTAATTGCTCAGAAGTGTAACCTCTCCCACCTTCTCCTTGTTGCACTTGTTCTTTCATGATGATAAACAGAAAGGTTAATCTGTCAAAGAAATTGGTAAATCGTACCTGGTATTAAATATGTTTCAGATGTATAATTCAGGCAGTTTATCAATTAAGGTTTTTTTGTTTTATACCTTTATACGTTTATGCTTATTCACCTTTTTGCATTATGTAACTAGGGTAATGTACTTGTTACAGTTAAGTTCAGTATCCCACCTTTTTAGTCTTCTGGTAACTACTAGTTGTGATACATCTGTAAAGATTTGAAATAAAGTGTTTTAAGTACTTGGTAACTGGATATTATTAATTAATTTATAATGTCATTTTGTTAACAATGATCCTTCTAAATCTTTATATCAAGATAATGTTAAATTGAAAGAAACAATTTTAGTTTAACTCAAACTTTTACTTGACAAAAGACTGATGACCAGTAATTTATAGCAATCAACTTTTAATTTCAGGTCTCTGTGTTTTACATACTTTTCAGTAATTTTATTAAAGTCTGGGGTTATACTATTCCAGTGGTTCATCATTCATTCAACAGAACTGCAGAGTGGGAATACATTAGTGTTTAATTACAGATTTTTAGCCACCATCTGCAGCCTAGCCTGTCCATAGTACAAAAAAACAGACGGGTCTTTAATACGAAATAAACTATCTATCTTTTGTGTTACTATGCCAACTGTCTAATAAAATTGGACTCCCTAGCCACCTAACCCTTGTTTCGACACGGACACGAAAACGGACACATCGTTACCGGAAACGTCCGTCGACGAAATCTGTCCTTCCTTTACACGCGTGTGGTGGTTGTAGATGGCTTCACGTAAAGATTCTGGTTCAGTAGCTAGCGCCGTAATGGCTTCTACGGGCGGCACTTTGGACTCTCCTGTCAAACAGATCCAAATTGAAGGACTGGTAAGTTTCACTGTGGTGCTGTATAGCTACATATTGAATTTCGTTGGCTGATGTGAGAGAAACCGGCCCCAACTGTTAGCAGATGTGGGTGCTAGCTAAAGTGTGAGCATCATCATGGCGGACAGATAATGAGAAGCGGTGTCTTGTACTTAAACAAATGCCTTTAACCTAGCTTACGTTACTTTATCCGTTGCTTTCCTGGCGAAACCGACTGACCAATACAGATAATATGTGTTGTTTACAATACCTAAACCGTCCAATAGGCCAACTATGCCTATCTTCCAAGTTAGCTGGTGTTAGCTTTGAGTAAGCCACGGGGACGTTTCATTTTAAAAGCAGGACCTCCCTGGTGGTCGGGTTAAGGGATCGACTTAGGATGATGATGATGATGATGCCCCTAGCTCTCACCTCAGGCAAGTGTTGCAGTTTGCCCCAAAAACCAGAATGTTTACAGGAGTAATTTGTTAGCCGTGTTCCTTATAACAAACATTACTTTACTTAAACAACAAGCTACAATAACTTTATATAGTGAGGAATACATAAATAAGACAGACATGTACTCAGTTGCAGGCTTCAAAGTGTATATTTGCCTTCTTGAAAACTAAAGCAAAATAAAGCCTTTCAACTAATTCATGGTTTAAAATAATCAAATCACTAAAAATGCAACAATAAATAGATTTCCTTGCAGCACAAAGTACCTCATCAATGCTCTCTTGATCTCTGGTCTGTTTTCATACAGAATGTATTTGGCTGCTTTAAAAAATATGTACTTCAGTCAGATTTTTCATTTGAGAAGACACTTGCCTCTTTGCAACTATATACTTGAAATACCAAAGCTAGTCCAGACTGATATTTGTCATTATTATCTAAATTTCCCCTGCATTTCAGTGTTGATGTTCTCAAGCCAGTTAAACATTTTAAGATTTGGTGGGACTATTACCAGGCAGTGTATCTTAAAACCTTTTGTGGCACATATTGAAATTTCAAACACCCTCAACATTGTACATACATACTTTACATTCTGTAGTACCCTTGTATAAACAGCAGAGGACAAACTTGTGTCATTGCCATGTACTTTCATTCTACCTCATCCTGTCCTAAACTGCACTGGTCACAAAGCAGCTCATTTGCTTGGTGTGCCTGAATGCAGTAGCAGGACATTACTTGCCAGCTGCTGCCTTCCTTTTATCTTGCTCATTAAAGGTGCCCTAGAGTCTCGGGTCCTAATTTCAAATCTAAATATTTCACCTCAGTGTGTATTATTTAGACCCCTTAATGAGATTTTCTTAATTCATTTTCTCAGTCTTATGAACCAAATATTTTAATCACAGCAGTTAAATTAAAAACAGTTGAGAACCGTTTACTGTGCGACCTTACTTGAGTTCAAACTGTTGAAGGAAAGGTGTCTATTTGAAGTAGAGTTATGAAATACTTTTCACCTGAATGCATTGATATGCAGCAGTTGCTGCTGTGTTGCGTCATGACCCGTCTGTCAGAGGTTTAGCTGGAGGGTTGCCCATAGACAGCATCACCAATGCTGTGTAGTAAAATTGGATTGTTTCCTTGCTTTTGAAGAGGTTTCAGTGGTTGATGTTGCCACAGGAGTGGAGTGCTGCACTGCGATGGGTTCCATTAAACACCTACTGAGATCACACGCTTGTCTGTATGTTTGAAAAAGTATTTATTCATTCTGATGTCTGATGCACGTCAGACACGGGTCTTATTCACGTATCGTGAATTAAGGAAAAGTCAGAGCACATTGTGCAGCACATTTTGGCACTGTGATATGAAAGCTCAGGGGCATAAAGAGGCAGGAAATATGTCAAAATGAGTTTTGACATTTCTTTTACCAGTGGCAGACATTTTCTTTGTTTTTTTCCCAGTGAATATATGAATGAGTAAAACACTGTGGCAGAACAGTCCCTTCTTCCCCCTGAGGCTTTTCCACTTGCCTCAGGTCCTTAAGCCTGGGCTCATCAGGAAGGTGTTCACACTACGCAATGTGACATAGATCATCTGTAACACACACAGACAGAAGAGATAACTTACTGCCCAGTGTAGAAACATGTGTTCCCATCTCTCCAGTACAGTTACTCATTGCTATGCTTCTTCTATCACTTCCTCATAGTAGAGCCAACACTTTATGTTTACCTGGTATTTAAAAGTTGTAATCCTTACTATTTCAGTTCCAGTTGATTTGGCATCACTGAGGTTATGTGAAGTATCAGCAAGTGTGTTTTCATACTACATCAGATACTCCTTAAGCAGAGTCTTTGGCAAAAATAAAACAGAAGACCAGCTGGTGTATGAGTTTACAGCACACCCAAACAAACTTGTGTTATTTCAATAAAAAAGTAAGTCCAAAGTAATTGCAGCTGCAATGTGACTTCATGCTGCGCACGGTTCCACACAACAGAAGGTCACAGTAAAGTTGGTTGCCTTGCTGTGTCTCCTCCTCGTTGTTCAGCTGCTGCCATGAAAACATTAAAATTATCCATGGATGGATGCAGCAATGGATGCTGTGACCACTTCACAATTCAGGTCACCCCTTGTTTCACCATTGGAATGGTTTTAATGTTAAGCAGTAGGAAATGTGTTTGGCAACTTAATACAGCTCTGATATGACTATATGAGACTGAAGGGTAAACAGTGCCGCTGATATCAATGAGATGACATTACAAACTAACACTGTTCAGATTACATGCTGCATTGTTTCCTTTGAATCCCTGATCCATTCAAAGGCAGTTTAAATCCAATGCGGGAATGTTGCACTCTGCCACTAACAATGATAACTAATACAATTACAAAATGCAAATACAATGATTGTCTATAGCTGAAAACATGCAGAACATGAGTAGTATCAAAAATTTTCATGAAAATCTTATCGAAGGATTATAATAACCTTACAACATCATCAGTGAAATTTGTATGAAACATCTTGAACTGAATTTGTCATTGCATACTTATGCTTACAAATCCAAGCCAGTCATCTTATACTGTTTAATGTGAGAATTATTGCTGCAAATGGATTTGAATAGCGTAAGGACAGTTGTGAATCTTTCCAGTGAGCAAGTGGTATTGTTAAAAGTCACTTCTTGATTGTTTCTTTCTCTACATTGCAATAACTTCTCTTGTTGATTGTTGTCAGAGTCACTGACTACTTCACACTACAAGTCCGTGCTTTGCCCAACAAAATTAAACATGTTTGAAAAAGATCTCATCAGGCCAAAGCTGGCAGATGAAGTGGGAAGCTGCGGTGGTCTTCATCCATGGCATAACCTCAACAGATGAGTCATGCCATACAAAGGTGTTCTCTCCGTCGAGTGTATTACAGCCGAGTGTAGAGTTTGTGTACACATGAGCAGCGCAAAAAGAAAAACTCATTATGGGATTGTCTCTCTTGCGGTACTTTCTCATAACTTGAGCCCCTTTGTGGCGGGACTATGAGCCCTTTTGTGTGAGTGAGAAAGAAGATTTATGATAAGAATTAAAGGCAGGCAACGGAGGATTTGGACTGCAATTGATTTTGCACAATTCAATTTTAAGCTTGTTGATTTATAATGCGCTGTCCACATATCAATCTTGGGCCTCTCCACATGAGGTGAGCTCACTGGGCTAGCTGCTGGTGAGCTAGATCAATAAAAATGTATGTGTGTCACAGAGGAGAGAGAGAGAAGCAGGCTAAGACAGTACTGGAGAGAGGTAGCGTACATGCGTGTGTCCATGTAGGTTTGCACGAACATGGAGCTTTCCAGGCTTGGCTTAGAATACCTGATGGCATTTACTCAACACCAGGAAGCCAGCACAACAAATCTACTGAAACCTCCGTCCGTCCTTCCTTCCTCCCCTGTCTTTAGTGTAGATGCCTATTCAGTTCCTGTCTTTAAAGTATTTCTGTAGATTCAGGACTTTTCTTAAAGCCTTGCTCGAATTAAATTTTATTTATTTGACCTTCCTGTAGTGGTTTTTGGCCAGTTATCCCTCTCACCTCCTTCTTTTCCAGACGGATGCTATTTAAGTGTGTGATGAACAGATTGCCAAGAGTTAGATAGCTGAACGCATTGTGAGTATCTGTGCTATCTGCTCTCGCTGATGGAGGGAGACTAGAAAAGCTATTTGCTGGCAGAAAAAGGAGCCAAAGCTCAAAGGGGGGCAGGGGGACTTTGTAAAGCAGCTAGCGCTGCCGATCCTGAGGACTTCCACTGTAGCCCTCTTTCCCCTCTCTTCCTGCCTCGCTGTCATCTGTTCACCCATTGCTCTCCTCGCCCTCACCTGCTCCCCTCATGCTCATCATTACCTTTATCCTTCTGCTTTTCCTCCCCTCATATTTTCACCATTGCATTTCCTCCTTTCCTTTCCCACCACCTCCTCACTCTTACATTTTCTCCCTCTCTCTCTATCCATCTTCCCCCCCTCCACCGACCTATTGTTCAGACCTTCCTGCCCTCTCAGTCAGAGAAGCCCAGGCAGGCAGAGTGTGAGATTTGTTTTTCTCCCCACTCCACCCCATATCGTCTCCCTTTTCCTGCCCCTAGCTCTTTTACTTGTTGCACGACAGGTCCGGCACTCTATTGAAATAAATCATCTCCCAAGACCAAGATAGATGCATGTGAGTGTATGTGTGTGTGTGTGTGTGTGTGTGTGCATGGGCTTGTGAGACCAGTAAGGGCTCCCTCATGGTGGTGATGGGTGTTTTGTTGTGAGCATGGCTCCAGAACTGCCACCCTGCTCCCGTCCGTATATATGTGTGTGTATGTGTATATTATTAATGCCTCTGGCTGTGACCTGCCCACACTGTTATCAGCATGATTTATGCTCTCCCCCTCCACTCTATTCTTTCAGCTTCTTGTCCTGTTTCTGTTCATTTAGACGCTTTGCCTTATTCTCCTCTTTGACTGTCGTTTTCTTTTTTCGCTGGTCAGTGCATCTCATGATGAGTAGATGTTTGTGTGTGTGTGTGCGCGTGTCTGCCCATGCCTATGTAGTGTGTGTGCATGTGTGTGTGTGCACGCGCTTGTGCACATGCGTGCGTGTGTGTAGAAATAAGCCATAGCCCTTTTGTGCTGTCCTTGGTGTAGGTGATGCAGCATTAGAGTTTAAACCAGCTCCTCAATCATGTGGAGGCTTGTCCTTTTGGCCCATTTTTATCTGGTATTAAAAATTAAACGCATACGATGATGCATGGACACTCTGTCTCGATGAGGCACGACGATGTGGGATATCAGACCATAAGTCCAAATATACCCTCCCACCATCTGAGGGGAGCATTTTTCTTAAAATTTCACTGGATTCAGGTTTTGTTTTTTATGTGTGCCGCCTCCTCTTTCTCTAGTGTAAATTGCTAAGCTGTGCTGAATACTAACTGGCCTTTTGTACACACTCAAGATCAGTGATGCACCAGTGCTGGAGCCTGCAGGTGGTGCTTACCACTCCATTTACCACTCAACCACAGCCAGTGATTGGCTGAGTAACTTGTCCCAGAATTTCCTCTTAACATAACAACACTGTTTGGCAATAGTGTGGTTTTATGTAAGAGCTTGGTGACCAGTGAAGAGTGTAAAATGGTGGCTAAGGATTTATTATACAATTGAGTATTGATGAGACTAACATGCTGTATGCCCCCAGTCAAACTGAAATTTAAATTTGCCTCACTTTTTGTTTAAGGACATACTCTATGTCCATTTTATTAGGTACACCCGTACAATCTTATGCAATCCATTACAACCTTTCTATTTTTATGATGCCTACGATATTATTATTAGAGCTAGTTAAAGGCTAAAGTGAAGAGATAAGTTTTGAGCTTTCTTTTAAAAATACTTAGTGAGCTGGCCTCTCTGATATCTGTAGCTATAGTTTCATAGCTTTGGGCTGTAACTGACATATTGAGAGAAATAAACATAGGAATGAACAATATGATTGACTTAATGATTCCTGACAATTTCACCAAAAACTGAACGTTTTAAACTTTGTGATGGTAGAAAAAATGTCAGCTGTTGTACTGAATTGAAATATATTTTTACAGGTGTACCTAATAAAGTGGCCACTGAGTTTATAAATAAATAAAAAAAAAACATTTTTGGACATATTTCTGGGAACATTTTTCTAAGCTTCAGGCCTCGGTGGGTGGTTGGCACCTTGGCAGCGGGTGACTGACATTTGAAGGTCGGCGTTGCGAGGTGATGTGCTGTCAACATTCACAGTGTGCTACCAACAGGAGCCCGTCGTAGCCCTGTAGCCTACGAATGTTGACACAAAATGTTTTTATCCTTTTTCAACAAGCCCACATAGTGCTGGTGATGTATGATGTACTGTACTGAAATCTTTCTTTTACAACTTTCAACACCTCAGAGGACCTGTTGTGCCTCTGTACTCCACTCAGAAAGGGAAGATTAGCAAGCTATCCTATGTTGATAAACCAGCCAGGCCAATGAGCTGATATTATCTTATTGCAGATGCATCACTGTCTGTGTAAATGTGGGCCCAAAAGTATGAAACTGCAGTGCAGAAATGTCAAACTAGGTTTGAGGGTAATTAAGAAACCTTGACCTGTTTTGCCCACCACAGAAGAAGTTGGTTTTTCAGCTATGAAATATCCCACTTAGTATGTATCTTTTTTTTTTTTTTTTAAATGTGGCTGATAGATAATTCTATTTCTATTTCTATATCTAATTCAATAGAAAATGGAGTTCACTCCAAAATTTGGTATTGGCCTAAAATCTCAGTATCTGCAGTAGCTTCCCCTTGGAAAGTGGATGTTGGTTAGCCTAGCTTGCTAATATTAGCACTGATACCCACTAAATGTTATAAAAATTAATAAAACTGAATGCCTTACCCTAACAGTCAGCTGCAATGCTGTTGGGTGCTAGAGAGGCAATGTTACAAAACTGACTGAAAGCTTTGCATTTTTAATGTTGCATATTTAAAAATCGAGTAGGAGTTACTTTATAATAGGTTTACAGAGTGGAGGTGGTGATCCAGCTGAGGGTGGGCTGAACCTTGTGAGCATTAGGGCCTATAAAGGCTGCACACAGGCAAGTGGCAAACTCTAATTTCAAGGAAAAATCTAATTGTTTCCAATACTGCGCAGCAGCAGTTATATAACCTCTGCACATCCAGTTCATATATACAATCACCATATCACATTGGACAGCCACCTGATAGTGAGACCTAAATCTGAACACGTTTGTGATACCAAGAAGTGTTTTATAATTTAAATGGTCTTTATAAAGTGATGTGTGTTGTGTGTCTCTGTAAGAAAGGTGAAGCCTCCCACAGCACAAAATAAAAGATAAAGGTAGTAGAACCACTAGTAATCATTTGAACTATGACTTCATTGTACTGATTCAATATCTTGTGGTAATTTTGCTATGACCTGATGCTGCTGATAAACTGTGCAGTGTTTCTTAAGGACATTAAAGTTGTGATGAAAATAGTCTTTATTAAAAAGTTTCCTTATTATATATCTTCACATATAAGAGCATATAATGTTTTTTTAATCAGGTACTCAAACTCAATATCATTATCTAACAATACATACTTATTTTAACAACGCTTTTCTATACATCTACACATACAATTTAATGTGCACTAGAAAAAAACTGTTATTTTTGTCTACATTTTTTCCCATAGGTATTAATTAAATAGTTCAATGTATTTGTACAATGATAAAACATAATGTGTGAAATAACAGAGAAAGAAAAACTACAAATCTGCAGCAGGAGAGATGAAAAAAACCCAAGCGCCTTGTAAAGGAAAAAAAAAAAGAAAATCAGCCAAACTAATCCCACCACAAACTAATGAGCACAAATCAACATGACGAGCAGAGACACAACTGAATCGAATAACATAAATCAAAGGATGATAAAATACAATAAGAAATGCTGTAACAGCCACAAAATGCACCAACAACAGGCTCGATAAATAAATTGGCTCCGGTTCAGAAAATGAAATCATTTTTCAGAAACTGTTACTGGAAGGAGAGTGAAGCCTCCCTGCCTCCCTCTCCGTCTCTGTTGTGTTGCGGTGGTTCGATACTTCGGTGATATTGCTCTTTCTGTTTTTTACAGGTGGTGCTGAAGATTATCAAGCACTACCAGGAAGAGGGCCAGGGCAGTGAGGTGGTTCAGGGCGTCCTGCTGGGCCTGGTAGTCGACGACCGGCTGGAGATCACCAACTGCTTCCCCTTTCCCCAGCACACTGAGGATGATGCAGACTTCGATGAAGGTAACTGAGAGTGGGCTCCCCTTTCTCTTTATTGTATTGATCCTCTCCCGCAGCTGAAAAAATGTACACACCCACACACATAATATAACATCACAACAGAGATGGAAATGAATATCTGTGAAGTCCAAAATCCCAGCAAAACATGCCTTTAAGAGTCCGGAGTGATGGGGTATAAATAATAATAAATATTTGAATGGTTTGATAACATGAAGGCTTTGGTATTTGCTTTTTCTCACATTTTGAAACTCTCTGAAGATTGCTTTTTTTGTCATTTAGTGTCATGATTAATTGAAAATTTTGGAACACATTTTTAATTAGAACTGGATACCTGAATACCAAATGGCACTGAAAATATCAAGTTAAATCATTTTTGTGAAGAATGTGTGTTGTTTTGTTGGTTGGTATTATGTAATATATATTTGACAGGTGGACTGAAAAGTCAGTTTCAGACAGTGCGTCAAAATGATTGACTGGAAAACAATACGAGTATGAACAGAGGGTCCTTTAATGCCATCCAGAACTGGTTCTTGAAATACAGCAAAACTGTGACTCAGAACAAATGTTATCTTGACAGGAAGCAATATAATGCTAACTTGTGTGTTAGCTCTGATGATGTGGTTTTGAGAGATTCGCTGGGGGTCACCATTCTCAACCCACCAAAAGTTCTACAATCATTAAAGCAGCAATAAACTATTGAGGCTAGGAGCCAAAGTACAATCGCATCAAGACGTCATTGAATGTCTGTTGTGTTGTGTAGCTTCAAGCAGTCAACAGAACATCCTTGCTTTTTTTTTTAAGAGGTGTGTGTGCGTGAAAGATGTCTCCAGGCATAGTGTTAAGGACAATGCCGACTTTTAACTAAGCTAACTAGGTGCTGGGTGTCCTACACTGTCAGTGCCAGGGTTGATGTGTGGGGGCAGTGGTACAGGGGTGGAATGGCTCCTGTGTTTGGCTTTCAGGTGGGCGGTGTGAACGTGCATGGGGTTTGATTTAGTCTTCATCTGCACTTGCACGCGGCGCCTTTCCCCTCCTGCCTCCCGTCAGCATTCATATCAAAGGATGCCATGTCCTCTGACCTCAGCCTTCCCTCTGTCAGGCCATGTTGTTACCTGATCCTTGTTAGCACAACAAAATCCGCCACAAGTCAGGCTGAAGGATGGGTAGGTGAGCAGATGCAGGGAATGAAGGAAAGGGAGAAAATCCTGCTCTAACAGGCTTCCACTGCTAACGAGCAACTGTCAAAATTTCTGCAAGAGACATAAGCGCCAATGGTGGCTGAAGGTTGTTAGTGGCAGGAACAGCTCACTGTAAGCGTGTGTGTGGGAGTCTGTGTTGGTGAGTGTCATGGCTTGTTGTACTGTTGACTTTTGATGCATTGGATTTTCCTTCTGTCACTCTCTTAGTTAACAAGGTTTCAGTGAGAAGTGCTTTGCCACGAACCATTGGTAAAAATGCACAGAGCTACAACAAAAGTCCTCTCAAGGTGACAGACTTCAGGTTTTCTGTCACCACAAAACCAAATTCCAAACGGAAATGTGTTGCTAGTCAATCACGTTGTGCATGATGTTTGTTGTCGAAATTATTATGGATTGAGAACAGTACAGCATAAAGGAGACAACTCTGTAAACTGCTGAATGCCTCTGTCTCTCCTCACAAAGTGTGTTTGTGCTACACACAATTTCATCTACTAAATCACAGCAATGGGAAGAGAGTAAGAGAGGCAAAACATGAAAAATGGATTTTATGCCTGTACATTTGGTCATTTTGTTTTCATACTTCAGCCTAAATTGTCTACCCACGCTCACAGCTGACCAGCCAGACCACTCGTCTCTCTCTCTCTCTCTCTCTCTCTCTCTCTCTCTCTCTCTCTCTCTCTCTCTCTCGTCTACCCTAATTGTTAGTGTTTTCATCTGTGCTGATATTGGGGCGGGTTGCTTCGACCTACTGCAGATGCACAGCACACAGAACAACAGATTTTGTTGCAGTGTTGGAATTGCACTTTGAAACAATGGCGTCTCTGTGGAGGATCTGTGAACTTAATGTTGGAGACATTGAGATTCTTCTAAAGTTCCAGAGCTTAACTGTGCCATGATGATGCCATGCATATCTAATCGGTTAATAAATCAATTCACATTTTATTTATTACCTCAAAACCACATGCTTCCAAGACACCGTCTACTGGCACATCAATAATGACAAACAATGGGCAGTGACACTCTGTGTGCTCATAGAGGAATGCAGTTCTCAGTGAAATACTGCAGAACAGCAATATCAGGGTCAGTGTCATCTGCCTAAATCCTGTATTTTCAACAGAGCTAGCTGGCTGTAAGTATTTGGCAGTAAAACAGCTTATTGCCTCAAACCAGGAGTAGTTACTGTAGGAGCCAGTGTGCTTTGGAAGTCGTTGCTCCCACTAGCGTTGTTGTAACTTGTGCTGTGTCGACTGCTTCTGGGAGTAATGTTTCAATCAGCTCGCTATTATTCTGTTGTTTTTTTTTTTTCACACACGCACGCACGCACACACACACACACACACACATACAGTTACACCGCACACTCATGCCCACACTAGAGGCCCAGGAGAAAATTTGGCCAAAATCTGTTTTTGACAGTGAAAAATTCATCAAAAATTGATAAATTTGAGTTTGGCTGGATCTGTGTTTTTTGTATCACTGTAGTCCTATCTCTGACTATTATATTGACTTTCCAATACATATCAGTTAATTAGATAAAGCTCGAGATTTAGGTGTAGAAAGACTGCAGAGCTGCAGGCGCTCTATTCACCTCCAATCAGGGACCCTGAGCACGTTTGGTTTCCAAGGTCTGCATGTGTGGGTATCTGTCTCTGCTGTGTGTTTGCCTGCACCAGTATTGTCTGTGTGTATGTACCTGACTGCCTGCTAGAGGCCCCTCAGATCAGAATTACTTCTCCAATCTATCTATGAAAGAAAGATGGACAGGATTGGCAGGGACGTGACATTGTGTGTTTTATGTGTGTGCCCGTGTGTGTTTGAGTGAAAGCAAGTCTGTGTGTGTGTGTGTGTGTGTGTGTGTGTGTGTGTGTGTGTGAGAGCGCTATGCTCCTTTTTCATCAACAGGTGCCAGTGTGGAGCTATACTAGCAGGACAGTGCATGGCAGGAAATGTGACCAATATGAGTGAGAAAAAGGTAGAGAAAGAGAGTAATCGAGTGAGCACAGCAGAATCAGCCTCAGATAGAAGGAAAAAAAAAAAAAAGAAAAACCTTGGCTGAACCCCAACCCTCCTATCGCCCATGTCCTTGCATACACTGTCCTTGTATCATTGGCAAAATATATGGAGAGATGTGTAGAATTGCAGTTAGCTATTCTCTAGGCATTTTGCGCAATAGGCACACAAGTAGCATTTTAATAACGTGCTTTGGCCCTCCTCTTTTGTTGTGATACCAGCAATAATATAAAGAGCTGTCCTGAGTAGCCTCAGACTTGTGGACCCCACTGTCGAGAGTTTATTAAAGACAAACAAGAAATTTACATCAGATCTTGCAAGGTAGTAATTGTGACCCTCATCATCTCTTACAGATACACACACGTAAAAAAAAAACTTTTCAGCATTCTTTTATGATGCCTTTGTGTGAGCGTGTTGCTCGTATTGCTGATTCCACTGAGAATCAACATCTTACTCTGCAGCTTTCAGCTCATTGTTTCACAGTGCCAGCCCATATGGTGGCCTCCCCATGGCTCTTGCCAACCTCTGCACTCTGTCAACACGTAGTGTAAGTTTATTGAAAATGTCACTGCACTTCAAGTTTTGACAGTGTGTGGGCGTTTACTTTTTCTTGTTTCATCTGTGCATGCTCTGCCATGCACCTGTCTATTCTTATACAGGTTTACAAAGATTTGTTTTCAATTTTTTATACTCTCACCAACTGCTATCATAAAAAACAAAAAGTGTGGGCAGCTGCTTCCATCTTACATGCTCATGCAAATAGATTGCACACTGCACAGAGTTCATTGCCCATTTCCAAATAGCAGCGAAATGATGTACGTGAAGTAAGTGGCTGGAAAGAAGAGGCCAGATATTTTTCATTGGAGGTGATGCACTCTGACCAAAATGTTAAGGAAAGTACAAAAACAAGTCAAAAGGTAAATTGTTAGAGCTCATGATGTTAGAAACTGTTTCTTTAATAGGTGATAAAACAATGCAGTGAATCACAAAACTGTTTCTGTTTTATATGCAATTAAATCTTGTTAGATCTGACTTGAAAGTGGGTGGACAGTAAAAAAAAAAAAAAAAAAATCATTAATATCAGTTAATTAAACATTTGAATTGTGTCTCAGTGCAATTCAAGACTTAAAAAGCCTGTTTGACTTGTAAGGAGGGATTGTATCACACTAACTGTTGCTCAGTACCAATTTTGGGAAGAAGGTTTGATATTCAAGCCTTGTCACTTGTATTCAGCAGCAGGAGGAAGAGGTATCCTAAAGGTAGAACAAAATTAGCCTGTTCTTTTTTTTTTCTTCCTTTCACCCTCTAATACCTCTCCCTCTTTTCCCCTCCTTTTTTTCTCTAACTCTCTCTAACTCTAAGGTAAAAGAGCTGCCTCCACCCTTCTCCTCCACCATCTCCCATCTCCCATCTTCCTTCTCAGCAATCACTGACGCAGCTTCCTTGCTTTACTTCTTTTCACCATCCTTTCTTTTATCATCCTCTTCCCTCGTTCTCTTCCGCATTGTTGTTACCTACCCCCTCTACCCTCCTTCCGTCTGTGCCACAACCATAGGAGGATTAATTAAGCAATATACTGTTGGAAAGAGAAATTATGTAAGTACCCAACCAATGTCCTGGTGGTAATTATGTCCAGGGAATGAAGCGTTCATTTTATAAGAATTATGTACTTAAATAGCCAGGAAAGGGTTTGTGTTTTTGTGAAGAGAGCAGTGCATCAATGACAGCCCAAGAAAATTGGACATTTGAAGTTATGACTTTGTCTCTGCTTTGAGGGAATACCTGCACCACAAT